AATATAATTTTCATTGTTAGGGGCATGGCTAAACTATTACCTATTACACTTCTATTCATTTCACACTTACGTACCAATCCTATTTATGATTATTATTAATAAAATTGAAAAATTCACGCCAGTATCAAGCAAATAATATTTTTTTAAAAGTGGCGTGAATTTATCAATTATTTATAAATCACTAAGCAATCTTTTGCTCGTATTTTGTTGGACATCTAAAATTTCTTGCGTTCTTTGTTCTTGCGACTCCGTTGCGTCACTATAGTAAATATAACATATGTTACCAGCGTATGATGGCGCTTCCCACGGGTAAAAGATTATTCGTATTCCAAATTTCATCAAAATCCGTTCAGTAGTTTTTACATGAGAGTAACCAACATCCATCCTCACAAACTTTCACATTTATATTATTTAATAATATAATTTTATAATATGATTGTACCTCGATAAATATGTTTCTTTTTCCTCTAATATAGCCAATTTTACATAGTTTTAAGAACTATAGTACCAAAATATATATCTTAAAAGTTTTACAATAATATCAATCGTGTTTTATAATTATTTCCATATATATTGTCAAGTTGACATTTTGCAATTATAATTAAATAGTTTTTTTAACATAAGTTTAATTTTGCATCCACGGGAAGTGTGACTACTGTCCAAGATAACTACCACGGTAACTATAATAAGCTTTTAATGAGTCGATTGACGAATGAATTACTATGCTTTTTTTTGTCTGTTATATATTTTTTATTGTTTTGGTGGAAAGTGACATTTTGGTCCAATGAAGTCATTTTTTATTTTTCAGTACGAAATTAAACAGGGCGCAAAAGCAGCCCTTGCAGTTTCTTACCGGTTCCTTTCTTACAGTTTCTTCTTTTCTCGGTACAAGGTTTCCCGTAATAGATTGCTGAACTATAAGCACAGAGTTTCGACTTTCTTATATGCTTGTAACTAGTAAGCCAACTTGTCTATAAATTTATTCAATAAATTGTTTTGACTGAATAAATTTCGCTTCCTCCTCATTAAGTGAGATACCGTGCGTACTGTGTCACAATTTTAGTTCAGAACATCTTGTTTAGTAGTAAACATTGAAAACTTGAAACACCTACATAATCTTTGTATTATATTATTGGTAAAAGAACATAAAAATACTGTAAACTTTGATGAATAAACAAGAGAAAATAAAGAAAACAAAGTTGGTGATGAATAAGTAACAATTGGCATAACAGTAATATTATTAAAGAAGTAACAATTGGCATTTTATTTAAAAATTTGGTTAGCAAGAAGAAAACAGCCGATTAATCAATAAGCAAGCATACAAATATTTTCTCAGCACTAAAACAGTCTGCAATTCATGTTCCGTGAACAATCATGATAACGGTCAGCAATTTAAATTCAAAAAGGTAGCGTATTTTATGATGCATCAGCAAAATAAACATCCACGCCGCAAAATAATTATTTGGGTATTAAGATTATACTTTTGAACAGCAAAGAAAACCTTTAACTATGCCTTTAATTTGATAAGAGTGCATATTTTAATTTTTATTAAAATTATTTAACTCATTTTATTGTATATTTTACTGGGAGTATATTATGATCAGAATTTTATATTTTAATATTATTATATATTGCATTCTGATTTTTTTCAATTAAAATAGTCGTCATATGACCGCAAGACTAAAAATAAGGTACATTTATAGAATAACAAAATGACTACATAAAAAACTAAATAAATAAATCAGTAAAATCAAATGAAAATTAACTAAGTGTAATAGACATTTTTTTTTAAATAAGTTAAAAGCAACTGTCAAAAATTCTTACCAGAGTATTTGATTGGCAATGCATCATCTCGTAATTTTATTATATTTAAAGTTCGATTCAAACAACTTTCCCTAAAATGAAGTGAGCAGATAAAAGTAACTTTTTCATTACATTTAATATTTTCTGCTTCTATGTAACTCGGCCATTTTCCTCTTTTGTTTCATCTGGTACATTTCTCTGGTTCATTCTGGTTCATTTGGTAATCTAAAATAATTAATATATTTTTAAATATTAAAATTATCGATATAAACCATATGTTAAAGTAACGACACTAGCCATGTAAACAATATTATTTACGGACCGAAATATTATAAAAATATAAACGAAAAGAGCAATATAGCATAAATAGAACACGCCAAAATACGATATGTATCGATTTATACACGCAATCATTTTCAGAATAACTTACTTACGTTTTAAATACTGTTATTCCAAGAAAGTGTTTAACTTACCGGTGAAACGTAATATTGCTCGGTTTGCGGGATATTGATGACGCACAACCAATTATACAGCACCTAGGCATTGTTTTGCATAAATAATTTACAATTTTCTGCCATGAAAGTTATATAAATTAAAGTTATAAATGAAAATAACCACAAAACTTATAACACTGACAGCTAAACTACTTCCGAGAATACGCAAAGCAAATTTGCAAATGGCTGACAGGTGGTACGATAGCTATATCTCATGACGTCACGTAAAAAATTTTGAACTGTCACACTAGTGTTATCTTTGTTTACTAAAGAAACTTCTTATTAGTTAAAAAAAGACAACATGATGTTTTTGATGTCAACTTCAGATTGCATGATATTTATATAACCATAGAAAATATTTCCACTCTACCTTACTCTATGGATAGACACGAGCCCTGTTTTATCTCGAGTCTATTGAGTGAATTTTTCAACTGGTGATCTATTGAAAAAAATATCATTCTATGGACTCGAGTTATCGAGCCAAGTCGGCGCATCGAGTTATTCTCTTGCCACGAGATGTTCGCTTTTCTAATTTATTAATCTATACTCCGTTTCATTGAAAGTGGCACAAGATGTAAACAAATATGGCGACTTCACAGTTTTATTGTTGGGACATTATATTATGAACATGTCATTTAGAGGCTGACTTTCCGTAAATTTGTTTTAAATGGATATAACTATTCTCAGAGTAGTATAATATATAATGAATTGCATGTTATAATACTGAAAATCCGTATATTATCATGACAACTACACAAGTTTACTTAATTAAATCCTATTAATATTATAAAGGCGAAAGTTTGTAAGTATGGATGTATGGATGTTTGTTACTCTTTCACGAAAAAACTACTGGACGGATTTGGATAAAACTTTACAGCAATATAGGTTATACATCAGAATAACACATAGGGTACTTTTTACTGGGAAAACTTCTCACTCCCACGGGATACCGACTTCCACGCGGACGAAGTCGCGGGCGTCCACTAGTACTTGATATCTCAACGAGTATGTAGAATTTATATTGATTTCTCAATGAGTATGAGTAGCTCGGTGGCATAGTGGATAGGCGCCGTGGCAAGCGATCGGTGTCGTTAAGCAACTTTCGCAAGGGTCGGTCACGGAATGGGTGACCAAAAAAATATTATCTCGAGCTACTCCGTGCTTCGGAAGGCACGTTAAGCAGTTGGTACCGGCTGCATTTGTAGTCGTTAATATCCGCCAATGGGCATTGGGCAGGCGTGGAGGGTCATGGCTCATGCTCCTTAACCATCCATAAGGAAGGCCTGAGCCCCTGCAGTGGGGACGATAATGATGATGATGATCTAGAATTTGTGATATTATAATGAAAAGTGACTTCATAGTCTAATTAAGGCACATTCCAATAAGACTTCTCTATGTGAAATAAAACAGGGGAAAAAAAGCAGCCATTGCTAAGTTTCTTGCCGGTTATTCTCAGTTCAAGATCTCCCGCCTTAGTTTTGTGAACCGTTGGCAAAGTTTTCTACTTTCACAAGTGCTATTTAACAACCTAGACTGATTTGATTTTGACATTTATATTAATATAATTCGACGTGTGGATGCATAATGGCACATATGGAAATAACATAAAAAAAACAAGCTAAATTCAGCTTTCCAATTGTTGTTCTTGATTCCAAACCTGAATTTAGATCAAACGAGTCAATTGAATTTACGAGCATAGAATTAATAAGTACTACGTACAACAGTACTTATTAATTCTATGGTTACGAGCAACCAATAAATTGGCTCATCACTAATGTTGACATATAAGCCAAACATCGTTCCTTTACACGTAACATATTAAATAACTTAAACTTATGATTCAAATAAAATAAAATTAATTTGAAAGTAAGATGTAATAAGAAACACGAAACGATGACTTATTTATTAATTTTCGAAACATAATTTATCTTTATTACGTCAGAAAAAAAATTGAATGGATATAATCGACAATTAACGGTACATCGCTAGTGACATGTAATTTGATTTCAAGAACTAATTTTTATTATTTAGAAACTTCTTCATTGACTCGAGTGACTCGAGTCACAAAATCCTACTCGAGTCGCATCGCTAGCTGTCTGTCAGAAGTAAAAGTGACAGATTCTGTCACTTTGACTTAAGATTGTCTGATCTGCCCTGCGATTTTGTAACAATTCAGACTCGAATTCGAATTCACTCATGTGTCCGAATTCTCGTCATTTACTAAAGAAATCATATAGATTCCATTTTTTGTATAAAAATACTAAACAAAATTGATTGATTAAACGTGTCATAGATATTTTAATCCTATATCATTTCGAAACTCACTTCACTTATTTCACGAAACATTATTACCAATTCAAGTTTGAGCGGATGCCGCTTTTTGAAGTGAATTCGGACACCCGAGTGATTTCGAAATCGGGTTTGAAGTTTTACAGAATCGCAGGGCTGAATTGATCTTTAGGAATATTAATCACTACAATACGATTGACCGATTTCGAATTGAATCCATATCGTTTTAAGCTCAGATCGAATCGTATACCTGGAAGACCAAATGAAAAATCGTATAATTTTATCAAATTGGCAGGTGCAGTGAGTATCTAAAGCAAAGTAAGACTACGTTGGATTTGGTCAACTGTTATTCATTTGCTCTTTGGATTCCATTCGATGTTAGAAATCTCGAAATGTTGATATTTTAAATATCTGATTCTTTAATATCGTTATAAGTAAGTTTTGTGATATGGTATTCCAAAGAGTACAATATTATTTATTTATTCTCTGATCATCTCAGAAAGAAGACGGAAAAATTTTGTTTTGTTTGAAAGTTTTTAAAGAATTTAATTTGCAAAATTACGAGTGCATGGCATAAGTGTATACTACCAATTGGAGGGATTGTCATAGCAATTATAATGGCTTGGAGAAGTCATGGAGTTAATAATGCTGATATGATACGAAACTTACGAGGTTTGTAGTCTGAAAATAATTTACTTTTATTGGGCAATTTGTTGTCTAAAATTTAGCATCTATTTTGAAATTCAAAGCAATTACAAGTAGCTTGTAGGCAAGATCCAGACTTACGGAAAAGGAAGGCGACATGATATAGTGATGAACAATTTAATAACATTGAAATATATTGTTATTGTTTAAAATCTGTAATTACTTGACATGGCAAACAATGATAGCATTCTGTTTGCAAAATATAGACTAAATCAGTTGTGGGGAACCAACTACATTTTTAATTCTCTAAACAGCTAAAGTGAACTTATTTTATTATACTACAAAGAAGTACATTTTTTTTCTATTGTATGTAACTACATAATGCTGTTAAAACAAACTGAGATTGTTATGTTTTGTTTGTCACATTGAAAGCTGGTTTTTAAATTTTCTGTTATTTGACAAATTCTATTCTATCTGGTGTGGGCCACTCAATTGGCTTAATATGCAGTACCTAAATCTAGATAAAGTAATCTTGTATAAAACTAAAACCTTTGCACTACATACTGCAGACTACTTGGGATGCTTCCTGTGATCACCAATGGTCCACAGATCACTTGTTAAGTACTACTAGTTTAGAGAATATGTGTAGTACAACAGAATTAGAACCACTGTATTTCAATGAAATATTTCAACTTCATTATAATTATTAGTACCTATATACCTACATATAAATGTTTAATTATTATCAGTTGCCGTTTTCATTAGGGCTTTAGCATTTATTGGGATTTTTTTGCAGCCAATGGCATAATAAAATCAGATACAGTTGCAAATGCAATGTCTGCAGTTGACAGAAAAAATTACTGTCCTTATGCACCTTACCATGATTCTCCACAGTCCATTGGTTACTCTGCCACCATTAGTGCTCCCCATATGGTGAGTATACATTACACACATATAACAATGTTGTTCCATCAAGTAAGAAAATGTTTATTCAAACTTTAAATATGAGATTTTTTGTCACAACAGCTGCCTTTGCTGCTGTCTTCTATTTTTTGTTTGTCTTCTACCACTTTTTTGATCAAGGAATTGAAATGAAATTAAAATATCTTTATTCAAGTAGTATTACAAGTATAACGTTTACTTTTGCATCGTCCAAAAAAAATTTTTCCCCTACCACTTGTTCAGGATGTCTTTTAGCTGACAAGAAGAACAAGCAAAAGAAACTTACCAGCTCTTTATCATAAGTAATGACATTTGATGGTTAAGATAGTGTCTCTTTCTCTGTTTACTGTTACATCATTGTGGACATGTTCATATTATTCAAGACACAAGTCACTCACCTTACTTTGTTAAATAATTTATAAAAATTATTTTTAATCTGCCCTGCTCCTTACAGTTTTGAGACCATCCACAAATTACCCTCTCTGTAATAGAGGGTAATTTCCCCTCCCCTTCCCTATTTTGATATTATTATTTATTCAAATTCACACTAATGATTATAGGAGCTGTTTTAAAATTAGTTAAATTTAGTTTCTTTTGAATTAATTTATATATTGTGTATTTATATTAGATATTGTAATATGACGTCACAAAATTAAGAACTCCACACACACTTTGTAACACAATGTTATATTTTGTCACCCTCTCCAACCCCTTCAAATGCAAGTTGCTTGTGACTTAGAAACTTCTATTTATAATCAATGCTTACAATAAATTCTTATTACTCCATAAATTCATTTTAACTTTCTCATCTCCTCTACTTCTCAGTCTTCATAACTCAATTCCTTTTCCCAGTTATTCTTGCAGGGTATTCTAGGAACAGTTTTCAAACAGAAAAATACTTTAATTTTTTTATTGCTTTTATTTATATTGTCATCATTACTTAATTTGGCATTTTTATTTCAGCATGCCCATGCTTTGGAGAGATTAAAAAATCAGTTAGTACCTGGTGAAAAAGCTCTTGATGTGGGGTCAGGTTCTGGATATTTAACTGCATGTATGGCAATCATGCTTGGTGAAAATGGACGAGTTGTGGGCATTGAACATATCCCTGATCTTGTCACATTAGCTAATAAAAATATTAAAAATGACCATCCAGAATTGCTAACATCTGAAAGAATTAAACTAATTGGTAAGAATTAAATCATGTCAAATTTACTGCAGTTATTGTTTCTAATTTTACAATAAAATAATATCTAGCACCATATTAGTGACTGCCAAACCAATAAAGCGCAAGAGATGGAAGGAATCCTTTTAACTTAAGATTCTATTGTATCAGACTTCACAAACTCTAGACCTTAATCAAAAGATGTGGCTTTGTTTTTTCATTTCTAAAAGAAGTATGGTATAACAGAAATATAATGAACAGTGAAAAACATTCAAGCAACATGTTTTGACTAAGATGTGAAGTTTGTGAAGTAAGGAAGCTTGGCTTCACACAAGATGTGATAACTTATTGACAGTGTGAACCATTTGGTTTTTGCTTGTTTGATAATTTTACATGAAGTTATTTTTGGTGGGATACATTTTCATTATGCTCTTTAGTTGGTGATGGTCGCCTTGGCTACCCTCCTGAAGCACCATACAATGCCATTCATGTTGGGGCTGCAGCTCCCACCTTACCTCAAGCTGTAAGTTGCATGCATAATAAAATATCTTTCAAAAATATATTACACAATGTCTCATAGTGAATATTTTTCCCTGGACAGCTAATTATATAGATTGGGCCCAGGCTGACGCAGTGATAAGCGCATTCAATTTTCGATTTCATTTGCTCGATGCTCATCAGATGAGTGATCAAATATTTATTACCTAGAGTTACTACATGCTTCAGAAGGCATGTTGAACCATTCATTGTGGCTGCAACTGCAGTAGTTAATGCCTAATAAACCTCATTAGGCTAATAATTATAGGCTTTTGTGGTGGATTATGGCTGGTGCTGGTTCCCTTTACTTTTTTTCCATTAAAAGGCCTCCTCATGAACTTATCTTTCTATCTGATGAAAAATTAAATATTTCGTCATTAATTTCACAGTTGGTTGATCAGTTGAAGCCTGGAGGCAGACTCATTGTACCAGTTGGACCCGAAGGAGGCGAACAACACCTTACTCAGGTTTCTATGCTATCTAATTATTGTCATTTGGTTGTGTAATGAGGTTGAGGTTTTCACAAATAATAAAGTCAACATCTGCAGAACGATACTGTAAAAATTCCGTTTTACAGAATTGCAGAACAAGTTATCAAAAATTATTAGATTATCCTTAATAAGTTCAAACTCTATAATGGAAAGAAATTTTACTGCACTCTGATGTGATTCTGTTGTATACAATTTAGTAATGGTTAAGTTTTATTTATTATAAGTTTTCTTTCATTATGGGAGCAGCCTAGTAAGGCCGCTCTTTGTATCCTCTTTTTTTCTAGGTTCTGTGATATATCTTATGTAGCATACAATAAAGAATATATTGTATATATGTAAATATATAATACCAATAACTATGTTTACTTTACAAAGGTGGATAAAGCAGCAGACGGCACCACAACAATAAAGAAACTCATGAGCGTCATCTACGTCCCCCTCACTGACAAGAACCATCAATATCGTGAGTGATGGTGCACACTCTTCACAATACTTAGTTGCGTATTGATCATTCTGGTTATCATTGTCATCTTTTGGGTAGCTAGAATAGGGGCAAAAAAATAATAGCACATCATCAACTAGTCGTAACACTAGATCTATACTTTTCAAGAGTGCTGAGTACCTATATTCTTGTAACTATGCAAAATTAAGTGAATGTCCTCCACAAAATAGGACTAACTGATGTAAAGTTTTCTACGTTTGGCAGAATGCAAGCATTGTAAACACGGGCGGTGTTTACAAATTAAGTGTTGATGTTATTTATTAGGTTCAATCTAAATAAAAACTTTTTGAAATTATTTACTGCAACACCAATATTCATTTTTTTTTGCCACGTTCTAAATCAATTAAATCTTGTATGTATTTAATTTAAAGTTTAGGTATCTTATTTATTTTTACGTTTGTAACTATTTCTATGTTAAGTAAAATAACTTAATAAATAGGGTATACTTGGAGTATTTTTTTACCTATGTAGGACAAGTTTATTCAAAGTAAGATTTATGTATGTTTAATCCAAAACCCAAATCATCAAGGGGTTTCAAAGTAATAAATACTTGTATTTGAAAATCTAAACATTCATTTCTCACTTTGTTTATTTATCCGATTGTGCAATGGTGCAGTGCAAATGGTATTATGAATTGGTATCAAACAATTGCTGGTCACAACTAGAAACTTCTTAGAATGCTTTCGTAATTATAAAAAAAATACTCTTGTTAATATGTTTAAATTTTGAAGAAAAAAAAAAGTTTTATTAAATGAAGAAATTTATAAATTCTACTAAATAAAATAAATAATTGAATTTATTTCTATTATTTATTTCTTATACGCAGATCTCCATGGAAACTTCTTCTTCCCCAACTTTTTCTCTTCATTTGAAACGTCAGCTGGTTTTGCTTTAATGTGCAATATAGAATAAAGAGTTTCAGCTTCGCCTTTATTTTCAATTATATTTTCTAATTCACTCTACGGAACATTAAATAGCAGATTAATTATCTTAAATTTATTAATTAATATTGTAAATGCAAAACTGATAAAATATAATAAGCAGATAAAAGTAATATTAAATTATCACTTACCTTTGTTAACGATAGTAAATGATCAAAAGAGACACCTCTGTTCAGGATCCTTGATATATTTTTTGAAGTGACGCCTGGTAATTTTTGTACGAAATCGTGGACCAGGATATTGTATCTTTCATAATTCATGTCATCTGCGGTATTATCACCGCTGAGTGCTAGTGCCTCTACAACACTAGGATTTTTTCTTCCTTGCTGAAATTATAACTTTTTGTTAAAGTAAATTGTTTTGTATCAACACAGTATTTATTAGAATAAAATGTTTTATGTACCTAATATTTACACTTTCAATTATTTCTGTAGTAATTTTTCATAATAACTGCAAAGCACCTTATCCGTTTTATATATGAGGTCATCCATAAATTACATCAAACGTCAGGGGTAGGGTTGGGGGAGGGGATGAGAAAGTTTGACATTGAGTGACAAGGGGTGAGAGTCCTTAATTTTGTGACGCCACATTTAAAAATCTAAGATAACAAGTCTTACAATAGGGAAAATGCACATTTTTAGAAAATGGTTTCATATGATAATTAAAATCGATATATATATCTTTAAAAAAATACCGGGCACCGATAAACTAAAATTTTGTAACATTAATCATTGATGAAAATAAGTAATAGCTACGAGCTGTTTAAACACCGGAATTTTAGGTGCTCTTGTCGTGACGTCAAAGTACACGACTAGAGATATGACATTTTAAATCAATATGGATTTTGAGTGCTTGATTATTATTAAATTACCCAAATCGATTAACAACTAATCGGTTTTTTAAAGTATTTTTTTTTAATAAATCATATAATTTACCAAATTGGTGAAATAAAATTAAAAGCCTAAAACATCATTTAAATTGTAATCTGTTGTTTATTTTGCGACTTAATACATTGATGTTACTGCATCGATGTTAACTTTTTGTAACAACGACATACCTATACGTGTACATTTTCGTCACATCCACTCTGTCAAGTAGCATGGTGTTTAAATATTTTGAAGATACCGCATTTATTTTGCACTTTTTAATAATTGTTTTCAAGACGAAAACGAACAAATTTTGAAAAATATTTAGATAGGCTTTATTCTAAAGCAATAACGACTGTAATAAAATATATTTAACCCTGTTTTGAATCAGACGCATATTCCCTATTATGAACAGATGTGACGATGACGGATAGGCGTCAATAAATCAGTTATTCCATAAGTAATATGCGAGTAATATATGGATGATCTCTTAGATTCAGTATACACGAGCTATAGGATACTATTTATTCCATTACGTATTTCTTGCAGTAAATCAACTCTTCGCTAATATCAAATCATACCCCATCTAGCCTATATGTTATTTGGGCGTAATTAATCAAGAAGGATTCATCCCACACAATGTCACTTTTGAGATATAGACATTTGAAGTTTAAGCTGTATTTGAATGTTGATGTAAATTTTTTGTGTATTATATTTTTATCTGATAGCATAGAAAACCACTTACATTATCTTATCATAATGTCATTTTAACAGTACTAACGATATTTATTAAAATATAAAAGTTAAAGTATGTTTGGATGATTTTTGATATATTTAGGTTTTAATTACCTTATTCTTACAAAACAAATCCCAAAAACGATCCAAATGAAGAAATAATAGAATAATTAACTGAAACGCCAAAATTTAATTGTAAAAACTATTTATTAAAAGGTTCTTTATATTTATTGTTTAAATTTTAAATGTCAGATGTATTCTCACTATCTTAAATTACCTTCCTACCTTTCCTGCCTTCCTGCCTTTTAATAAAATGACCTTTTAACAAAAATGATTCAAGCGTTTTGAACCTTTATTGTGATTTTTAACCAAGATTAATGCCTTTAATTTGCTTAATATATGGATCCAAGAAGCTTCAGTCGTTTTCATGTAACTAAAACCAACTACCAAAGATGTGGGACGGTAACCATTGAAAAGAAAACGTCAAATATTTAATACAGCCCAGAGCTTTTTCCTGTATGAAAGTATAGATCCTGGACATTTCGGTATACTTAACTCATTTTCAACCAATTTGTGAGTTGTATCCTTTTTGAGTAATTACATGCGTCCAATTCAGACTTAGAGTTATCCATGTAAAAAATTTCATCAAAATCCGTTTAGGAGTTTTTGCGTGAAAGATTAATAAACATCCATCCTAATAAAATTTCGCGTTTATAATATTAGTGGAATTAACCTTCAATTCATAAAACAGTTCCGCGGTGGCATAAGGACTCGGTGACCAAACCAACTTAAGTCTGGGAAAGTGTATTGTGAGAAGTTGAAGTTTCTGTTGAATGTTAGCTCCAGAAATATCTGACGATACCATCAAATGACCCTGTAAACAAACGAAACAAATGACAAAAATATAACGAATACGAATGTCTGTATAACGTGTTTTGTTGCAGGTAAATAATCAACTATTAGATAAGCTGCTATATGAAATCTACACCATCTTCTATTTATTCTTAATAAAGACGTAATAAATATACACGCTTTGTTTAGCTCGTTATCTTGCTTCTCTTCGTATTGTTAACGTCATACGGAACTAGAGACATTCAGTAAGTATGTGCCTTCTATTGTAACGGCAACGAACACGGTACTTTCGACAGCACACTAGATTGCCCCAAAAGGCCAAATTTCTCCAATTAATTTTAAACATCAATGTATTAATAGTAAGTTTAAAATTGACGAAGGAGTTACCATATTGTAGTAATTAGATTGTTAACTGTATGCGTAATAAAAAGATCAGCGCGGGTATATAAAAGGTCATTACTGTGGCCTTTCACTACAGAAGAGCCCCCCTTTTAAATTTCAAATATACTCTTTAGGTCCCTAATTTATGAGTCTGTATCATAGATAAATATTTATTTTAGACGGCTACACTGACGTCAGTATGGCAACGTTATTAGACAAAATAATAGTACTTAATAACAGTACCTGCAAATTGAAGGGTTTATTTTGATCGAATTCAATAAGTAAAATAGGTCTGCTATAATTTCTACACATTTGCGTGCACTGTGTATACAAGCGTCCCGAATTTAAGGAACCGATTAAATCGGATATCGATTTTCGTTCCACACATATTTCAGGAGTGAGAATGTAATCGCCAATCTGCAATAATAAGGAAAAAATTGTTAAATTCAGTTTGAAATAACATCTTAAAGTTTGTAGGGTTAATTTTAAAGATTATCTATAAATTTAAGGAAGAGTAGAGTAATCGCTATTGTTTGTTTTTGTTGTAGTAGTGTTGTAGGCATACAGGTCAATGTACGAATTTGGTCGTTGTCAATCGTGTCGTCTCGTTCGTTCGGTGACTGATAGAACGAGACGACACGATTGATTGCACATTTACGTTAAGAATGGGTTACAAATTACGCACAGAAATAGAGCGATAATGAGGGATATAAACAAATGTTAATAACTTAGTTGTTAATAAATATTATAAAATTTAAATTACACACATTTAATAAAAAAAAAGCCTTCCATCATTATTGTATAAACATCATTTAACAATTATTAGTTAAAGAAACAAAAACTAGTAATTAGTAAGTAAAATATAATAAAAAAAAAACTAAATATGTATTAATCATTCTCAAAAAAATACGTCGTGATGGGAAACGCTCCAAACCTAACAATTTAAAGTACTTTTTTAGAATTATTAACAATAAAAAATAAGCACAACAATAAAGAAAATAATTTTTCTAAAAATAGAACTGACAAAATTTTTTACAAAGTGATAAATAATACTTATTTTAAAAGCGGTTAATTTTTTCAAGAGACATTAAAGTTACTCATATTTAATAAACTGCAGTAAAGTTTTGCCCTTGTTTGTTTTAGCTTTTGCGATTCTAAGATGAAATCTGTAGAGGTACAACTATTTAAAAGGTTAAAAACTTTAAAATATAGAATATATGGCCCATCTTACCGCAATTGTTACAGGTTCAATGTTGATGCCTTTCTTGTGAAGCAGTGCAGGTAGATCAGATCGAAATTCTCTCATATCGACTATGACTAAGGGCTTCTCAGAGGGCTTTTGACCTCCTAAAATTAATATGTAAGGAATTAATCTTAGTTTCTAAAACAATATAGGTAGGTATTCATCTCGTACAGTTATATGACACCGTGAAAATATGAATTGTAGGCATTCAAAATAATTATACGCTTAAAAATATATGTTTTACTTTACAAAATATATACTCTAATCTATAACAGCGTCACACATTTGAAAATAAGCTATTAGATGAATAAGATCTATTAGTATTATTACCAGCTTTTCTTGTATCAACAGTTGCAGAGTCCTCTTCAACATTCAAATTAAAATATTCATCTGTCTTTCCGTCTTGGTAATTGGGTACGACCATTGTCTATAAAAAAATATTTATCTTTTAATTACACTGCTATTAATAAAAGAGGGAGGAGTTAATTTACGCTGAGACTGCACTTAGTATTACTTCTAGAAGGTTTGCTTATTCTCTGTATAATATGAATTTGGACTAATAATAAAATTGTAATTTAAGCTTAAATTTACTCTGACGCTAAACCTTGTTTGTTAATAGCACTTGAGTTTTAGGCTGACCCGCAATTATATTTCAACCTTTTTATCCGTAATGTGAATACCGCACCAAAGGAATTATTGTTTAACTGTAAGGTATTTAAAACACTGCTCTTGATTTAATGGAATGGCATCCTCATATAATCATTATCAGTTGCATTAAAAAAATAAGCATTTGTGTGCTAACTGCAGAAGGGCAAATAAAAAATAGCCGTGAAGGCAATCAAAAAGTACGATAAAATATATTTATAAAAATATTAAAAGCTTTCGATGTTAATATTAATTCTTACTTACACTTTTTGTTGCAATTAATAATTCGAACGCTTGTTTCTCCCTTTTTAAAGATGTAAGATAAGCCTGTTCCTCTACTGTTTTATCATGAATCATGAAGTAAACTTTGCTAGTCACCTCATCAGGTTGCTTTCGACATTCGTACAATTCTATTTGCCTAACAGCCGATACATCACTATGATACAATATGATATACTCTGGACGTAAAGTTTCTAATGACCTTTCAAGTGAAAATTGATTTCCATTTTCTTTGATATTTTGAATAAATATTAATGGCTTTTCACTTTCCATTTGAGTTATATCTAAATTATCAACCTGCAATTTAAATATATCTGTGACAAGGAGATATAAAAAAATATCAAAAATTACAAAGCGACATCACAAAGGATTAACACCTGTGTTATTGATTCAAACATGCTTTCATTTAAATCGTTGTTTTGTTGTGTTACTTGTGATAAAGTAAGAACGTAGTTGCATTGCATATCATCTGCTTCAAAATCATCACAAGTATCCAATTCTTTGACATCGTCCTTTTCTATTGCACTGTTTGTAATATTCCTATTTGTTTCCGGTTTAACTTTTTCTTCCACAGTAATATGTTTAAAATCGTTATATTTTGCCGAAACTGCATTTATGGTTAATTCACTTCGAAAGGCTTTATAGAACAAATATTTACTCGGCCCCATTGTGAGATAATGATTTAGTTGTGAACATGTTTTATTATCATGGCATAGTATTAATATTTTAGTATTTTTCAAACTTCCATCTTTTTTCTTTTTGACTTCTTCTGGTATTTCGTCTATCAGAAGTTCACTAAGTATTTTCCATTTGGGAGATGGTTCAGGCTCGAATTCTGAAAATGTTTAACTTTTCATTAAATAAACTATGGGTTACTTATTCTGCGAGTATTGCGTTGGGATTTACATACCATTTTTGTTATTATAAACTCGTGCTCTAGCAAGACGAAATAATTGTTCGGCCGATTCGAGGAGTATCCAGCCTGAGTTAATTTGAGCATATTCGGGCGTTTTATATTTACTAATTAGGGCGTAAAATGTTACAGAATCATCGTGAATAACATTTCTGGAAATATATAATCAAGTTATCTTTAATCCAGATTTAATGTGCTGTACCAGCTAAAACTGTAAATGTTATGGACCAAGTGATAAATTCCGCATTATACATAATGCCCGGTCATTATGAAAAATCCCCAATATGAGAGAGCAATAATAACGTCCGGTAATTTATATAACAATAAAAAAAATACCGGGCGTCATAAATATTGTTCGTCACCTTTTATGCAGAGTGATATAAAGGCTTTCCTTTTTATAATATTAGTATAGTAACCCTCTTTAGCGCATCTGTGCCGCTCTTCACTCTCTGCCTGATTGAACTATCATTGCGTTTCTAATAAATCCGTTCAAATTTATTTCCTTCTATTTTAATAGAGTTAAATTTTCTCGACTAATAAATCAAATTTAACTTACATTATCATACTTCTTAGTATTTTTAAATCTTGAATATATTCCTTAGTTCTTGTACTCAACTGATGCCAAACACAGTCCAGCTGTGATTGTAGTATTTTGTGGAACTTTTTTGTAAGACAGTTTTCTGTGGTAATTTCCTAAAGATGTAATATTATAAAGCTAAATCCATCATAATATTTTTTAATAGCAATTGTTTGTCTTTCCGTCAGATAGATTTTGAAGAAAGAAAGTCATGCTTTTGTACATTTTCTACAAAACTGTGATATAGCGAGCCCCCACCCCTTAACTTTAATGCCTATCTAAGCCCTTTCTTGTTAAATTGAAGAAATAGAAATACATTTCTTTTATCTGACTGACGGCCTAGATACAATTTTTTTTTTTATTCAGTCATCATCCCTATTCATTTTAACGGAATCACACACTTAGTGCCTGCGCACACTTTCGACAAAACTGTCTTGGGATGGTCTACCAGTAAGGTGCGCACACTTGGGACAAAAAGTTGCAAAAACAAAACTGTTAGGTATCTACACAAGACAAGACTGTCGTCTAGATATAAAAAACTGCGTTACGCCGCGGATTTGAGCTAGTTCACTGCACTATATATTAACGATAACTCACTTTTACAAGAAGAGTAGAATTTATTAGAGGGTTAAATTAAAATAATTCATAAGTATATTTATTTCCTTGGCATATCTTATTAAGTATTAAACCATATCTTAAACAATCCTTCTCTTTCCCCTCTTCTTCATCAAAATGTACATTGTACGCTGCGTTCCTCTTCAAATCTCACTCTTGAGATTCCTCATCACTCTACATTTGTATTCGTATTCTTTAGCTGTGCGTCGATGGAATTCTTTTTCAGAGAATGTCAGGAAGGCTCAATCATTACGGCCCTTTATATTAAAACGTATCTAATATATTTCTATTAAATATATATATATATATATATATGCTTATATTGTCTAATAATTATTTCGGTTATATATATATATTGCACCCACTCCCCATAGTATCTTTATTAGTTATCCATTTTCATAATTGATTGCTGTTTAGCAATAAGGCCGCCATTTGTTTACTCTTATCTCTTAGGTAATAAGTTCCTGTATACTATGTATCATCTTGAGTGCAATTATTATTAAAGTAGCTGATCCTGCGAACTTTGTACCGCCATATTTTATACGGCAATTGTTTCATCAAAGATCTGTCAAAATCTATTGTCACGTACCGTCAATTACTTTTTGTGTTAGATTGTAAAATATAGTTCAGATAAAAATCTATAATTTTTTAAATAATTTTTTTTATACACAAAACTTGTCTTGACACTGAGAAATACATAAAAAAAGAATCATCCAATTAGGTGCAGTCCTTCGGAAGTTATTTGAGTCCGTACATTTTGGCGATTCATTTTTATATGTATGTTTTAGTGTGCACCACTGTGATATTTCAGTGGTACTTACCTCTTATTATTATTATTTCATATTACAAGGAACGAATAGGAGAACAGAGAAGTAGTGCTATTTATCAGTCACTACAGTAGCCCAATGAACAATCCAAATAACGCTGAAGTTTATAAACCATTCGATCGAAGTCCTATCGAAGTGTGTTATTCAGGTGACGCTCGGACGCACTGCAATAGAACTTCAACTCAATAGGAACAAAACTCAACGACTTATCAATCGAAAACCAATACAGTTGCCAGTAAGATTAATTTGTATGCAACCGTGCTGTTTAAACATATTTTTACAGTAAATTGAGAGACTTATTTAGTCTTTACCAATGAAATTACCATTTACCATGAAATAAATTAAGCGTATTTTTTTTCTATATTTTTTATTTGTATTAATCAATGTAATCCCATGCAATTAATGCATCTTTGCCAACGCGTTGGTAGCTTATTGATGCCCTTCTTGCAGAAATCAGCCGGACGGAAGGCAACAATTCTTCAAAGGCAATTTGTACTGCTCCTCGGGTACTGAATTATTTTTTCCGCCAAGAAGTTATCCAAATTCTGGAAAAAGTAGAAGTCTGTAGGCGCAAGGTCTGGTGAGTACGGCGGATGACGGAGAACAACCCCAGCTCTTATAGCTTGGAGACCGTGTGCTGTGCAGTATGAGGTCGCGCGTTGTCGTGTAGGAGCAGTGGAGCCGAACGATTGACCAAGGCCGGTTGTAGATGTGTCTCCATCATTGTGTTCAGTTCTTCATAGTACACATCTGCGATAATGCTCGTCCCGTTTGGTAAGAAGCTGAGATGTATTACACCCGCGTTAGACCACCAAACAGTGACCATCACTTTTCTAGGGGTAAACTTTCGTTTAGGGCATTGTTTGGTCAGCACCCAAAGGATCCAGGGTTGAACCAGCTTGCTGAGCACTTACGATTGTCGAACAGAATCCATTTCTTGTCAGAAATAACAATGTGGTTCAGAATTCATTAATTTGTATGCCTGTTTAACAGTGCAAGGCACGTCTCTCACGCGTACTTCGTGCTGGCGATCATTGAATTCGTGGGGTACCCATTTGTCAAGCTTTTTTTCCTTGCCAATTTGACGCAAATGTATCAATATTGTTTTGATGCTAACGTCGAAAGCTGCTGCTAATTCAGCCGTAGCCATAGCAATTTATACTACAAAGACTGATCGTCAAAAATTCGGCCAGGAGCTGCGCGTTACTTAGTATGTTTTTGTAAGACTACTAACTAAACTGAATACCGACCAAGTACGAAACGGGTTCGCGCGCTTAGGAAATGTGGAAATTTACATAAGTATTATTCAGCATTGTGATGTGAAATGTTGAAAAATCTTAGGCGTGCACTCATTCTCATTTCAAATATTTTTTCATACACTTTGAAAAGAAATGATTTCATTTTAAATTAAAATGTTTTGCCAGTACTATTATCACTTAAGTAAAAAAACATTACAAAACTGTAAGCCAATACCTACCATGTCTGTTAAGATTCGCCTTTAGGTTTTTTTCTCAATTACAATTTTGTCAAAGTTCAGTCCAATAATCGATAAAAAATCTGATTCCGACATTGGATCATTGAATATTGGAACTCGGGTTGCAAAATTCCGATATTGCCATATTCCGAGATTCTGCCCTAGCGCCGCGTCAAGACAGTTTTGTGCGTGCGTCGTGTCACGATAAAACTGTTGGTAGATTGTTTTAAGGCAATTTGTTTTGTTGATACAAGACAAAACAGTTTTTTCCATAGTGTGCGGCAGGCACTCTTCTTAAAAATAAATATGTTATTAAATATAAATACTAAGGCAAATAAACGTTAATAAAATAACAAATTATATGTAAATACCTGCATGTCCAAATTTCTGTTAATACTCTTGAGTTCTTTCACCGTATAGTTCATAATATCTATTAAGCAGGTTTGTATGTGAGTCACATTCATTGTGAGGGGTACATGTAACTCAACAACTTCAGCTATTCTACTTTTGAGACTTTTAATAACTGTTCCATGAAATCTGCACAATAATTATAATCACTTTAATATATTATTTTAAAGTGATGTATGTTTTTCTTTTTTTTTTATTAGTATTTTCGTATTATACTATTATGTAATTCTAATTTAAAAAGAGCTGCAAAAATATCTAATTCTACCTATGAGTGTAGCACTGAATCTAGCAGTCGGATCATAATACATTTTAAGGAACCACTTAAATAGTGTAGGCCTGTGCTACAGAAACGGAGTCAGCAATAGACTGATGATGATTTACTGAATATACACAGCTGCACATCAGGTTACCACAATATGGTGAATTTTCTTGGAGTTGATTCATTAAGATTTAAAATGAAGTGCAGAAATTTGTGTAACCTGACGAGCCTGTGATTCTACAAGAATTGAGAGTGTATCTTAATTCAATTTGATGTCACATAAATCTCTGTCGCAAGTGCAATTATTAAGTAGACCTACTGAAGTTCATATCAAAGAAGTTACCCTGACAACCTGTTTACTGTACATACTGTAGCAAATAACTAGGAGATTTAAATTCAATTCAACGAGGAAGTATTAAAAAAAACCTAAGTTCCCGAAATCTAACTAGATGTCGCCACGGTACGTTCTTGATTTCTCCATGACAACCTTTCCGGTTTTCTTTCATGTTTAAATGTAAATTAGTTTTCAAAACTCAATAAACAACTCTTATTCTATTTGTGCTTTTTCATACTATTTGTATTGATATCTAAGTTTCGAACTTTTCAAATTTAAATTTTTGAATATGTTAGTTAATAGGAACGGAAATTACTGTTTTTGGTCCATTTGTTTCCTGCAAAAATTAACTTTTGCTAGAGTCACCATCTAGTGGAGGTGCTTTTTTAGTGCTTTTGTTTTTTTTAATACTTCCTACTTAAATCTCTGTTAGTGTAATTATAAATGAAAGCTTACCTAGGCCACAAGAATAATTCTGTGACAAACAATGCTCTCATCACTTTTTCAACTTGATGATATCCAAATGTGAAAGATATGGGAGAATTAGACATTGCTTTAATAAAGCCTATCTGTGAATACACAAATATAATAATTATTTATTTGGATCAATTGAGAATTATAAAGGAAAATAAAAACTCTACCTTATTTTTTTGTCTATATAACCTTAGTGCAAAAGCTTCTTGGCAGGATTCTAAAACTGTATGGGCTCTTAACACAATCATTCCTGTAATATGAGAAATGGGCACTCGATTTTTCAATAGATCCACCACCAAGATTCTTGTTGTAACAAAATGAATTCCACCCTCTAAATATTTTTTTTCCCTGCAATAATAATAATTTTAGGTACAATTAGAACAGAATGTTTCCGCTCAGACTAGCCACCTATTAGGTACTTTCTGTTTTCAATAGTCAATTAATTGTAACCTTACTTTGAATCAAAATAAAGAGACTTAAAAATTACCAGACATTCTGTTCTCAGGTTGAAATATTTTAGTAATCTTATAGCATGGCTTATTTTCACTTTATTTTGTTAGGTGATGATGGATAAATTGGTCAAAAACTGTTGATTAAATTTCAATGTTGGTAGTGGGAGTGCAATAATTCTAATTTAGTTAGATTAATTACAAACATTATAGTTATTGTAACTATTGATCTTAATCTTTCAATATTTTTATTAGTAACAGCATAATATGTATAGATAAATGTATTATTATTATCAGCAGCAGACTAAGGTGGGGTGGAGAGGACCTCTTGTCCTGGTGGGCCTCCAAATGGCTTCAAATGTTCAGTTTCATAGTCTTGGCAGGGGGTGTGTAAATACAATATCAAATTTCTGGGCCCTATGCCACCCCAGGCCCCTGATGGGGTTAGTCCGTCACTGATTATTATATGATATATTCTAAATCATAATAAGGTTCTATCTTACACATGAAAATACAGATTTTTGTTATATGTTCAGAAATTTAATTATATAAATTTTATAGCACTAATAATGCAAATATAATTTACATAAAATATAACTTATTGAATCAAGTGTCTTGTCTATTATTGGTATCATGTAAATGGACCATAAGTTGTTGCAACACATTATAATGAAAAAAAAATTGTGTACCCACCTTTCAGAGCCTAAAGTTGGTAAAGCTGTCAAATTAAACTTCTCCATAAAATACTTTTCTTCATGATCATTGCTATTTAATACTAACACTAAGTTGGCTGGGTCGTTGTATAACCAAAGGAAGTTTGATAATATTGTGGTATAATTCAGTCCTCTGCAGCAGTATAGAATAAACAAGTTTACCCAATTATTTTAACGAACTATTTAATTTATAAATCACATTAAAATTATATATGTACATACTTTGCCATGATCAAGAGTGCATCCTTTTCAAATAAATCCATAAATATTTGTTTTTCAAAAGATAACATTGGATATTTAGTATTAGCATTTGCTAACTTCATATCAATTTCATTAGTGTCCTCCATTTCGAAAGATTGTAAAGTACAATATTATTGTTGTTGATGTATGCATAAAAATCTTATTGCATCAGGGATGTTAGACGGCCACTTAGAAATCCTTGTACCGAGCTGGCTGAAAGCTGGTATTCGAGGGGGAAAACTAGTACGCCTGTGCTCCGCTCTAATGCTGCCAATTCTGGGAGACAAACTGTGTGGGAAATCGCATCTCAGTAAAAAAAATGCACATTTCAATTTCGTATACCGTTAATAGAGGGCAGTAATTATCGAACACACGGAAGAAATATCACTTTTAACATTTTTTTTGATATTATATTGCATTTCGAATATAATACGTAAAATATATTGAAAATATGAATAAATGATTTGTAACGAAGATTTTTTATCAAAAACGGCGGTTCGCTTGAGCAAACAACTGATACTAAGTACTTAAAAAAAAAAAAACCCGTGCTGGAATCGAACCCGGGGCCCCGCGAACGTGAGCGCAACGCGTTACCATTACGCTATCTATTGAGAAAATAACGGCAGAAAATGGTAACTGCTCATCGAGACAGCTTGATATAATAAAGTTTTATGACATTAAGGAAATCTGATTGGAATGTTTTTTTACGTCTCTGAAATTTGTCGATTATTCTATGTTGTCAGTGTATTTTTGTCGGTTAACGGCCAATCTTGGTATTTTTGCATACAATGACTGAGTAGTCTTGGTACATGGTATGTGACACTAAAAACTAGTATGTATACCAAGAAGTTGGTACGTCTGACATCATTGTATTGCATTTTTCTCTAATATTATTCCTCTATGATGGAATCTCAGATTATATAGTTTTTACTAGCGGTGAGGCGTATTTATCGTAACAGGTAAAAAGAACAAGTATTACCCTACGGAACATAACAACTGTTATTCGTAACAAAAATACTACACGCGAGAACAGTTCTATGCGTAAAATATCGTAACAGCACAATCCGCTGTTATCTCCTGTTATTGGTCTGCGGCTGTTATCCCTGTGTTCCTGTTCCTAGCTAGAACAGTTCCCCTCTCATTCTTACCTATGAAGTCAAAAAGAGAGCCACCTAGTACTTTCTTCTAAATATCAGGAAGTTAAAGTTAAGCCAACTTTGTGTCTCCTTAATTTTGCTTCGTCGTATCAACTAATGTTATTCGTCTATTTCTCTCTCATTCTCTGATACAGGTCATAAGGCAGCAAAAAGAGATGGTGACTAGTATTTTATAATACAAGAAATTTGTATTGACACTTCTTTATTCCATGATACATAAAGTAGATAGACTCCTAAAATTTGTTCTATAATTTAGGTGTAGGAATACGTTCGGATACATTATACTTAAACTTTTGTTATTGAAACAAACACACGGGAAAAAAAATTGAATAGTCATCAAATTATTTTATGAATGTTGAATTGTTTTCATTAAAATACGATCATTTTAAACACATTTATACAAAAATAAATCTAATAATGCCTGGTTTAAAAATGGAAAATTGATTAAACAAGTATATTTAATTTATTGTATAAGTATCCGAACACGGCGTCTGCTGTCATCAATCAATGTATTAGGTACTTGGGATTTTAGACTTTATTCTGATAGCAGCTAAGGCTTTTTAAACAAATGACAAGAAAGTTTACTTCTTTGACCTGATTGGTAGTTATGATTGAAGCGTAATTATCAAGCTTATGTTGGTACAAATAAAGAGCATAGTTGCTTGATAATGATAAGTCGTATTTTTAACATTTGAACGGTCGTTTTAGAAGATAAAATTACCTCATCTGTATCTGACGTCATCTGTACCTTGCGAACGGGTATTCTCCGCAGCTGGGTACCTAATGAATGACAGGCGAACAGGCCTCGGGGTCAGCAAATTCCAACACCTGCTTTTTCTGCACCAGAATTTGTAAATATTAGATAAGTTAAAACTTGTAAATATGTACATATTCTACTGTAAATATCAAATCATGTACATACAATCAATTCAAAACTTTCAAATGCGCCAGTTTGTTATGCCCTTAAATATAATTAATAGTAAATTATGGACTATACAGAGGAAATAAAAATATAATCATATAGGTAATGTGTATTGCACCCATGCACAGCAAAACACAAATCTTTACCACATGACACCTAAACACAAAATAGAATGCATTATCTATCTTGACAAACTGACAGTCCTCTAAGCCTGATAAGCATGAAGGAAAGTTTTTGGATTGTTTTTACTAGGCCTTAGCTATACTAATTTTGATTGTAGTTAGAAAATAACAGGCTGTTATTTTATAACAGGTATTAGGAACTGTTAAATTTGGATAACAAGAACAGCTGTAACAGGTATTTGATTTAACCTGTTACGACTCATCATTAGTTTTTACTCTTTGGGTAGAATTCAAGAACTTCCAACATTTTTTTTTCCAAAAAGTTTTTACCGGCCCTGGCTTTAGGGAATGGATACCGGTATACCGGTATACCGAAATACCGGTATACCGGACAATTTTTTCGGTATTTTGTTACCGGTATTTGAGGATTAAATTTCGGTATTTAAAAAAAAGCTTTATATTTTTGCAATATCAGCTGTTAAAAGTCATTGATACGTTTTCACACATATTTTTAGGGTACCAAAAGATCAAAGGACTGAGTATGACTGAGTAGACTACGCTGTCTCCGCCTGTCAGCGGGCTCTATCTCCGAAACCGCTGAAGGTAGGAATCTGAAATTTTCACAGAATGTGTACAACTGTTGCTGTTACAAAAACAAATACTAAAACCTGTTACAAGTTTTATCCTCTAAGTGGCGCTGATACAACAAAGTGTCAAAAATTGGAATATCTCAGCCGTTATCAAAGCTAGCAAAATATTTTTATTAATTTATCATACCGAATTGATTCTTAAATCAATAATAATTAAAGAATATTATTCTCCAACGGCACCCTTCGTGCGCGAGTTTCACTCGCCGGTTTTTTATATTTCACAGCACAGTTGTACACGGTATGGAACCCACACCCAGCAGTTGTATATATAAGGACGCCTTCGCCTATGTTATGTCCATCCCCAGGGCTAAACTATCGATTCAAATAATCGGAAATTCAAAACGATTCGAGTATCCAGTCCCATCACTAATCATGTGACGCGCACGCCGAGCACGCCACTTCCTTCCCCTCCCTCCGCCCGCCGCCGGCCCGCGGCTTCCTCAGTCAGTTCTGCTGATATTATTGAAGCGAGAGCACGTTGCCGTTTGTCTACTACTCTAACTCCACCAGCTTTTTAAAATGGAGGTACTAGAGGCAGATTTTTGGATGCAGCTTACAAGTACCTATTAAGCATTCCTCCCACCAGCGTTGAATCAGAAAGGGCGTTTTCATCTACAAGTTACATTTGTAACAAAATAAGGTCATCGTTGAACGACGCAACTTTGGACGCATTGTGTTTTCTTCGTTCAATTTTACAACAAACGCGATCTACCTGATTGAGATTTAAGTTGAATTGCGCCTTTGATATAAATAATTTTAAAATAAGTAACATCATTTGTAATTTGATTTTGTTTGAAAATTTTGTAACTTACATGTTATAAGTTCTATTATTATAAGAGAGCTGATTGTGATATTTGTGTCTTAATTAATAACCTTACATTAATTACCTACTATTTTTTTGATTTCTAGGGATTGAATAGTTTCAGTGTTTTTACTTTGGAGACTTACTAAACGTTTTTTAAATTATTTAAACAGTAGTTACTGTTTTTTAGCAGTAATTTCAAAATATACCGAAAAAATACCGAAATACCGGTATACCGGTATTTGAAAGTCTAATACTGGTATCAATACCGGTATGAAAATCATTCCGGTATTCCATGCCCTACGTGGCTTCCATGGTCTTCAGCTGTCCAACAAATAATAAGTAGAGATGGACGTTTGAACGAAAAGCACTTAATTAAGCATGCTTTTCTAAAGAAGTGCAAAAGCGCTTTTTCATTTATTAGAAGAAAAGTATGCTAATGCTTATTGTACGTCCCGCCATCTATCAAGATATAACTTATAGCTTCAATCAAATTTTCTATTTCAGCATTTTTCTATTAGAGGGCAGCACTTTACATAAGTGCACAGTATTATACTATTACGCGTGATATCCAATTAGGCTTTTTGCAACAACTTTTTTGGTTTGTTAGTCCAAACGCCTTTTTTAAACGGAACTTATACTTAAAAAAGCAGTACGCTTTTCGTTGTTAAAGAAAGTGCACGTTTTGGTGAATGTTAATTAATTGCATAAGTTGAATTATATGCGTAAATAAATTGCTACTTAAGTGATGACTTTTGTTTATTCCTAAATAAACAGTGTAAATAAGTTTTGTTATGAGGTGATGGTGTGTATATAAAACATTCTAAGTATTATTGAATTGCATTAGTTTTAAGATTGTGTAAATAAAATGTCGAGAAACGGTAATAATATTGTGGTCTTGTATTATACATAAAAATCTTCCTTTTGCATCACCCTATCTATGAAAAAAAACCGCATCAAAATCCGTTGCGTAGTTTTAAAGATTTAAGCATATATAGGGATATAGGGACAAAGAAAGCGACTTTGTTTTATACTTTGTAGTGATAACAAAATGTTGCACGCTTATTATAACAATTTCTAAACGTCAGTTGAAAAAAAAGTGTTTAAACAAAATAAGCAGTTTTTAATCATGTTTATTGAAAACCGTACAACGTACAACACTTAAAAATTTGAAGCAGTTATTACCACCTCTAATAATAAGTCGCTAACAATGAGTAAAAGTATATATTGGGGAAAAGAGAACCCACTCACCATAGATGTGAGAGAAGGTGTGAAATGTTGATAGACACTAATGATGTGCTGATTCGACTATTGTGCACATCGTAATTGATATCAATTGATAATAATCGATCCTTGTCAATGATTATTAAATATTTTTACCCAAAAAGTTTATTAATGATATCAGATTATTTCCATCGTATTTTAAAGGCATCCAAGTTAATGAAAAATACTTA